GGCGGCGGCCGCGGCGCCGCCGCCGGCCGACGACGCGGACCTCGAGGCCATGGAGGCCATGGGCGAGAACGACACCGTCGGCGGCGGCTCGGCGTCGCCGTCGAAGAAGCGCGCCGCCAGCGGCGACGACGACGGCCCGGCCGTCGCGGCGACGTTCCTCGGCTCGCCCGCGGCGAAGCGGCGCGCGGACGCGGCCGCGGCCGCGGCCGCGGCGTCGCCGCGGTCGTCGCCCCGCGGCGGCGGCTCGTCGCCCCGCGACTCCGAGGACCTCGAGACGCGCTCCTGCTGGGTCTGCAAGGAGGCGGGCGAGATCATCCTCTGCAAGGAGTGCAACCGCTGCTTCCACTACGACTGCGCCGGCATCACCGTCGACGACTACGAGGAGTGCGCCTTCTGGCACTGCCGCGACTGCGCGGGCAACGGCGCGACGGGCGGCGCGCGCGCCCGCCGGCGGTAGGCGCGGCCGCGCCGCGAACGACACGACCTCGAACTTGAACTTCCGCGCCGAGATCCGCGCCGCCGCGGGTCCGCGCCACTCTCCCCCTCCTTCCCCGTGTGAGTTGTGTTAACTCCTCCTACTGAGAACTGCAAACTTGACGATGGGCGGCCTAGTACTCGGGAAATATCTCGCGGCTCGAGCGCCAAAATGCGAGCACGTTCCAGAAGCACTCGTTGGGCAGACGCGTGCTAAAGAGGCGCTCGAGGACCTTGTCCGCCGGCGGCGCTGCGCGGCCGTGGATGCAGAGTGCACGAAGCCGCACGAGGCCGATGCGCGGCGCGCGCACGTACGCTGCCCAGCAGCCGCCCGCGTCGCGAACGTCGTCGAAGAGCTGCGCGACTTGGCATAAATGATCGACACGATGCTCTGGATTCGCCTCCTGCCGGTCCTGGATGATACGATTGGTGCCGTTTAACTTCTGGTGAGCTAATCGTGCTGGTGAAACACCTTGGGAGTTGGGGGCGTCGAAGTCAGCGCCGCGGCTTACGAAGAAGCGCACGAGATCAAAAGAACGCACAAGATCGATGACGGGAGCCGAGTGCCACCGCGTTCTCCTGAGGACCTCAGAGAGCACCGTCTGAGTATTCTGAAATAAGGGGGAGTACCAAGCATATTGAATTTGCGTCTCGGCGTCGATCCGAGCCCCGGCGTCAAGCAGGAGGGCGGCCTCCGCGGGGGTCGCGCAGAAGGATAGAGGCCGGCCAAGATGCCCACATGCGTTTGCGTTCACTCCATGAGAAAGCAGCAGTCGAATCATCTCTTTCCTTTTCTCACGTTTGTCAGCACGAAGCTCGACACTTCGATTAGATATGAAAACATACTTGTGACGTAGAAACTCAAAAAGCGCACAGTGATCTGCGTCATCCAACGTGTCGAGTGGAGCGGTTTCGAGCCACGCCCGCACCTCGCTGATCTCAAAGCGGCCGTCGCGGAACAACTCAGCAATCGCCGCGCGCGCCATGCGCTCTTATATTTTTGACCTGGGCATGGCAATAAATCGGCGAAGGGAAGTCTTGGAGCGCTCGAGTCGATAGGGCCTGCCATACGATAGGCCACACCAGTCGCCCCAGATCTCAAGCGGCGAAGGTTGCGGCAGCTAAAAACACCACAGCTAAACACAGCGCCTCAGCCCGCGCCCTCGAGGACCCGTCGGAGCGCGGGCGGCCGCTCCTCGACGGGCTTGCGCCGCTGCTTCGCGAGCCACTCGCCGAGGCCGAGGTCGGCCTCGCGATGCTTCCGGGGCACGCGCGTGTGGCCCTCGCGCGCGACGAAGGCCGCGAGGGCCGCGGCGTAGGCGTCCCCGCGGTCGTTGGGCGCCCAGGCGAAGCCGAGCGCGTCGAGGAGCGCCGCGCGGTCCGCCGCGAGGGCCCCCGCGCGCTTCAACCTTCGCTGCTTGACGACCCACTGGCCGAGCTTGCGGCCGTCGAAGGTCGTGAAGTTCGCCGGCACGCGGCAGTCGCCGCGCGCGGCCGCGTAGCGCCCGAGCGCCTCGTAGGCCGCGTCCCACCGCGCCTCGCGCGGCGTGCTCCAGGACACGCCGAGGCCGTCGAGCTTCTCCGCGTGGACCGGATCCAGCAACCCCGCGTCGGCCCTGTTCCGCTGGTCGAGCAGCCAGAGCCCGAGGCGCGCGCCGCGCTCCGTCGCGTTGCGAGGGACGTCCGCGTGGCCCTCGCGGCGCACGAAGTCCGCGAGGCGCCCGTACTGCGCGCGCCAGGCCCGCTCGCTGTCGCTCAGGAGGATCCCGCCGTCGAGCGCCAGGAGCTGGGCGCGCCGCCGCGGCTCGAGGCGCCCCGTGCGCGCGAAGCGCCGCTGGTCGCCGAGCCAGCGGCCCAGGCGGACGCCGCACGCGGTCACGTGCGCCGACGGCACGCGCGCGTCGTCGTGCTCTTGGGCGTAGGCCTGGAGCAATCCCAGCTTGTAGACCCACTTGCCGCCGAGCTCCTCGGCGGCGCCGTTGACGTGCGCGACGACGCGCTCGCGCTCCGCGTAGGCGGCCTGGAGCTCCGTCCACGAGAGCCGGAGCGACTCCGCCTTGTAACTTTTCTCGGCCCAGACCGCGCGCCGCGCGGACCGCGCGGCGTCGCGGCGGCTCAGGCCCGGCGCGAGGCGCTGGCGCAGCCGGCTCGGCCACCGCTCCGGCGTGACGTCGCCGCCGAAGCGGCCGCGGCGGAGCGCGACGACGCGGAGGCACGCGCCGAACGCCGCGTCCTCGCGCGCCCAGCCGAGGAAGACGTCGACGGCGTCGTCCTTGGACTTGGCGATGCGCCGCCAGGTCTCGTCCTCGTCGTTCTTCGACTTGGCCAGGCGCTGGAACGTCGTGTCGTCGTTGGCGTCGTAGGCGAGACGTCGCGGTGGCGCGCCGCTGTCGTCCGGCGACGCGCGCCGCAGCGCGAGGCGTCGCGGCGGCGCGCGGTGCTGGACGGGAGTTGGTCGTAGCGTGGCCGCGAGCCGCAGCGCGACGGCTACGAGGAGGCGCGACATCGACTTTCAGGCGGCCATGCCTCACCTTTCCAGCGGCACTTCAACGTTGCATTCTTTCCCCGAAGGAGGTGGTCGTGTATTCCGGCATGCTCCTGGCTGCTCTGGCAGCCCGCGCTGCCGCCGCGGTCCCCGGCATGCTCCTGCTTGCTCTGGCAGCCCGCGCTGCCGCCACGGTCCCGGTCACGAACGCCACCGTGCCCCTGTGGACGTCGAACTCGTCCTGCGAATACGTGCAACTACGAGCCTCGTTCCCGCTCGCGACACCGCCGCGATCAATCACGGTCTACGCGACGGCCCAGGCGACGGAGAAGCTCCTCGGCGCCTACAAGCTCTGGGTCAACGGCGTGGCGCTTGCCGAGGGCCCCGGCCGCGCGCTCTCGAGCGAGACGCAGCTCGTCGACGTCGTCGACGTGGACCCGTCGAACGCCGACGCGCTCGCGCTCGCGGTGCAGGGCTACAAGCAAAAGGGCGGCGGTCGAATCCTCGTCACAACAAAAATCGTCCACGCCGACGGCACGGTAGAAATCTTCGGCAGCGACGCCACCTGGAAGGCGAACTGCCTCGACGGCGCCGCGCGGCAGGAGTGCTGCCTCGGCGGCAACTATCACGCGCCGCGAGAGAACTGGGCCCTCGACGCGTTCCCCGCGGGCTGGACGGGCGCGACCTTCGACGACGCGTCCTGGGAGCCGGCGGCGGCGCAGAAGGCCTTCGCGCCCCTGGAGGCGAAGGCGTCCCGGCCCGTCGGCCGCTTCGACGACTGGCGCCGCGCCGTCGCGATCACCGAAGTCAAGGAGACGGTCTGCGCCGCCGCGCCGCAGAACGAGCGCCTCTACCTCACCTGCAACGGGACGTCGACCATCGAGGCCGTCGTCTTCGCCGACTTTGGCGCGCCGTCGGGCGCGTGCGCGGCCCCGCGGGGCGCCGCCGCGGCCGGGATGATTCCGACGCAGAACGCGAACGCGTCGGGCAGCCCCGCCAACAGCTTCGAGACCGACGCGACCTGCACGAGCACGGACGCGCACTCGAAGATCGAGGCGCTCTGCGTCGGCCGGACGTCCTGCGACCTCGGCTCGGATTCGCGGACGTTCGGGTCGCCGTCGAACGCGTGCCCCGCGTCCAAGTGGGCCGCGGTCGCCGTGCGCTGCGCCGCGGCGGCGCCGAGCTACCGCTACGTCGTCGACCTCGGCGCGGAGCTCCAGGGCGGCGTGCTCCTCCGCGTGCCGGCCCACGACCGGCGGCGGGCGGCGGACGTCGTCGTGCGGCTCGGGGAGGCGCGGCTCCCCAACGGGTCCGTCGAGTTCCACATGACGACGGGCAACGACTACGAGGAGCGCTGGGCCCCGTACGAGGATGGCTCCGAATCCGTCTTCGACATGGGCCACGAGTACCGCGAGTTCCGCTGGGCCGAGGTCGCGAACTCGCCCGCGCCGCTGGAAAAGGGCGACGTCGGCGCGTGGATCGTCCGCTACCCGCTCGACGCGGCCGCGTCGACCTTCGCGAGCGCCAGCGACCGCCTCGACGCCGTCTGGGCCCTCGGCAAGGACACGATCGTCGCCACGGCGTTGGACGTGAACACGGACAGCAACACGCGGCAGCGGGACAACTGCGGCATCGACGCGCACGTCGCCTTAACCGGCCAGCTCGCGACGACGGCCGACGCGTCGCTCCCGCTCCGGTCCCTGGGCTTTTTGCTCCGCGCGGGCGACGGCGTGCGGCCGTCCTGGGTCGAGGACAAGCTCAGCGCCGTCTGGGGCCTCGCCGCGGTGCTCCGCGCGGACCCGGCGTCGCCGACGGCGCTCGCGCTCGCGAACCGGACCTACGCCGCGCTCAAGAACCTGACGCTCCTGCCGGCCTACTACGACGCGTCGGCGCACGTCGTCGTCAAGGGCAACCCGTCCTGGCTCCAGAAGAATTTCCCCAATTCCACGTGCGAGAAATGCGAGCCGGATTTGGTCGACTACCCGGGCCAGTACCTGGACGGCTACGACTCGCCCAACAACCGGTCGACGTCGACGAACGCGCACGTCTTGGACGCCGCGCGGGACCTCGCGACCATCGCACGGGCACTGGCGGCCACCGATGGCTCCGCGAAGCAGGCGTACCTCGACGACGCCGAGGCCCACGACGCCGTCGCCGACGCCATCGCCGCGACGCTGTCCTCCGAGGCCTTCTTCGACGGCACTGTCTTTGTCGACGGCGACGGGTCGACCCATGCGAGCATCGCGGCGCAGTACCTCGCCTGGGGCGCCGGCGCGCCGAAGAATCCGTCCGCGGCGGCGCTCCGGGCCTTCGCGGCCGCCGTCGCGAACAAGACGTTCGGACGCGCGGAGCCGGCCTACTCGTGCATGGGCGCCTACTGGGTCCTGCGCGCCCTCTACGGCGCGGCGCTGCGCGACGGCGACGCCGACTACCGCGCCGCGGCGCGCGCCGCCGCCGAAGTCGCGCGGCGCGTGCTCGTCGCGGACGAGACGTGGCAGCTGATGCTCGCCGCGGGCGCGACGGCGACGATGGAGGTCTGGACCGTCGCCGACAAGGGCAACCCGACGTGGTCGCACCCCTGGTGCTCGGCGCCGGCGACGGCCGTGCCCGCCTGGCTCGGCGGCGTCGCGCCCGCGGAGGGCTCGCCGGGCCGGCTCCTCGTGCGGCCGCAGCCCGGCGCGCTCGCGTCCTTCGAGCTCACCGCACCGACGCCCTCGGGGGCCGTCGCCGTCGCGCTAGCGCAGGACGCACACGTGCTGAATCTGACGGTGACGATCCCGGCGAACGCGACGGGCGCGCGCGTCTGCCTCCCGCGCGCGGCCGACGCGACCGGCGACGACGCGGCCGACGCGCTCACGCTCGACGGCGCGGCCGTCGACGCGCCCGAGTTCGACGGCCACGTGCTCTGCCACCCGGCGGACCTCCCGCCCGGCACCCACGCCCTGAGCCGCGCGAGCGCGTAATGTTGCCCCGGACTTGCACCGCAACAACCTCAAGGAGGCAGCCCGCGCGCAGCGCGATGGCGGCGGCCTGGCTCCTCGTCGTCGCGCTCGCGCAGCGAGCGCGATGCGTGCCGCACCCGAGCACGGCGGGCGTGGATCTCTACGAGGCCATCGGCGCGTCGCGCGGCGCGGCGACGGAGGCGCTGCTCGCGGACCACGCCGCCGCCGTCGCGGCGACGATGCCGGCCCTCGAGGCCGCGGCGTCCGACGTCGTCGACGAGGCCACGGCGGCCTTCGAGGCGCACGACGCCGCGCTCGCCGCCGTCGACGAGGCCCTGCTCGTCGCGCGGCGCAAGCGGCTCGAGGTCAACGCGGAGCTCGACGCGGCGGCGAAGGCGCTCCGCGCGGCGACGCTCGCTTTGAACCGGTCCGCGGAGGGCGGCCCCCTCGCCGACGCCCTCGAGACCTACGCGACGGCCTACAACTTGACGGCCAAACTCGTCGACGACGCCGTCAAGGGCGGCACGAAGCTGCGGCTAAAAAAGAGCGACCCGAAGCTGAACGCGAAATTGGAAGCGAACGTGACGCGCGCGCTGCTCGGCGTGTCGCTGTCGCCGGCGGCCAACGCGACGCTTAAGCGCGCCTTCGACGCCATGCGCTGGGACCGGTCGCCCAAGGACCGGTGGGACGCCGTGCTCACCGTCGACGACTTCCTCGACGGCGGCGAGCCGCGGCTGTCGCGCGCCGCGATCGCGGCGCTCGGCCCGATCGACTGGAGCCAGCCCCTGGACCCGCTCCGCGTCGAGCGCGACGCCGAGCGCAAGCGCCTCAACGCCTACTTCGACTACGAGGGCCCCGGCGGCATCTCGTACGCGAAATTTCAAGCGGCCGTCCTCCGCAAGGTCGCGCACCTCGACGCGGGCGCCGTCGACGGCTTCGTCGCGGCCATCGCCTTCGCGGACCCGGCGGTCAAGCCGGGCAACGTCACGGCGGACTCGGCGCGCGCGCTCCTCGACCTCGTCAACGACACCGCGGTCTCGATCGAGGACCCGGAGCGGTGGACGGATCGGCGGTCGCTCCTCGACGTCGAGGGCCCGCCGGCCGCGGCGTCCCTCGCGGAGTCGATTCGCGCGTCCTGCGTCCAGCTCGAGGCCGTGCCGCCGCTCCTCGCGCGCGCGGAGCGCCTCGAGGACGACGCCGCGGAGCTCCGGCTCGCGGCCGAGGCGAAGCTCGCGGACGCGGACGCGGCCGGCCTCGCCGCCGACGCGGCTTTGGAACGCGCGCGGGCGCCCGTCGCCGCCCTCGAGCAGCGCGGCCGCGTCCTCGACGCCGCCCGCGAGACGCTCGGCGACCCGGAGCGGCGCGCGCGCTACGACGCGCCATGCCGCCCGTCGCGCGACGCGCCGGGCTGCTGCGCGCGCGCGCTCCCCTCCGGCGGCGTCGAGCTCGAGTGCGCGGCGCCGGCCGCGGGGTAACGGGTGGGGTTCTGAGGTCGTGGGGAGGAGTGGTCGTCGTCGGAGTGGGTGGTGAATAGTCGTGCGGCGACGCTGAGCCGCTGAGTCGCCGGGCTTGCGGCGGAGAGAATCGTCCAGATCACGTGATCACGCGTATCGTCGAGTCTCAACCTCTTCTCGGGCCGCGTGCGCGACGAATTCACAAGTCTAATGGATCGGATGGACGTTGACGAAGCGTCTCCTTCAATCATCAAGCATCGCCCGAGCGTTTTGACGAAGTGCTGTCGCTTAGTCGGCCAGAGCGGTTTCCTCGACGCCGGCTCGTTCTCGGCCTTGCTAGCGGTTAGCAAGGCGCCCTCGGCGGGCTTCGACCCGTGCGCGCTCACTCTGGCATGGCGACTGGCGGCGGAGCGGGCCGTGGCCGCGAACTCGATCACGTCGCGGACCGCGATCGGCGCGAACGGGCTCCTTGCGCTCGACCACGTGACGCGAATCGACCTCGTCGACAAGGTGCTCTCGCTCGCCATCGTCAACCCGCACCGCCCGGGCGTGCATGGTAAGGGGTTCGAACTTGCGGAGTTTGCCGGCGAGGAGAACGACCAAGGCGAGCACGTGACGACGCGCTTCGTGGACGCGTGGGAAGCGAAGCGCATCCGCGGCGTCATCGTGGGACAGACGGCCCTCTACCTCTACCTGAAGTCGCAGGGCCATGCGCCGTCATCGCTGCCGACAGCGGTCAATGTAGATTTGTGCATTGATGGTGTGTTCAAGCACGTGCATGGCCTGGTGTCGTACGACGGTCACCGCAACTGTGACATCGGATATGGTGACTACGAACAAGACTTTAACAGCGGCAAGTTGAGCTTCCGTCGGCAGCTACCCCAATTTTGTGAGGAGATGAAAATCTTCGGCGAGAAGGCCGCGTCGCCGCCGAACATTGTCGTGACACAGCTGACGCAGCCAGCTTCTTCAGACGTGGATTTAGTGGATCTGGCCATGCGACATTCTCTCGGCGCGCTACAAGTTGTGGCGTTCTACGATGAGGGCGCGCTGCGTTTCTTAAAGACGCTTGAATTCGATGAAGCAGTCGCATCACGTCGCGTCGCCGTACCCGTCGCCGGCTATGACCCCGCGGATGTGGCGACTTTACGGCTCTGGGGCTTCGACGACGCGCCGATGGAGCTGGAGTGCGCCGATTTGGGGAAGTGGTGGAAGCTACTGCCTCCGAACCAGAAGTACGCGTCGGGGGGTGGTCTCGACTTCTGGCAGTACCACGATCCCGCGACGACGTCGGCGCTGCTGTGCGCGGGCCGCGTCGTCCCGCGCAAGCAGCACGGACGCATCTGGCGCGATCGTCTGGTGCTCTACGCTCGGACGCCGCGCTGGGCCCTCCGGCTCGAGCGCACGCGCGTCGGTAGCCGCCCCAAGCTCGAGCTGCTCGCGCTCACGAAGAGCATCCGCAAGGAGATTCCCAAGCTACTCGAGTTCTCGCTTGCCGACATCGTCTCTGGCATCGGCGGCTCCTACGCCCTGCACAACTTCATGTCTCGCGGCGGCGCGTCTCTGGGCTGGGAGCCGAACGACGTCGACTACTACCACCTACGGCACGGAGACGCAGCTTCGCGTTTGACCGACTCCATCGCCACCTTCAAGGCCGCGCTCGTGGCCCGCGACGGCCCCTTCCCCGGTGGCGTGACTTTGGAGTTGGACGACGTCACGCGTCTCGCGCACCGCTATCCGCCGATTGATGACCTCCGGCCCACGATCGTCAACGACTATGCCCTCAAGATCACTTTCCTCGATGGCGCCACGGGCGGGCGCCACGAAGTGAAGATGGAGAAGATCTCCTTCATAGAGATCGAGACCGGCAATCCGAACCTGACGCTAGATCGCATCCTCGCGAGCTACGACATCGACGTCTGCAGCGTCGGCATGCGCTTCATCGACGGCGAGTGGCACTTTATTTGCGCGGAAGACGTGGCCGCGGCCATCGAGGCCAAGACCATGACGGTCCGCGAAGGCCGCGTGACGAGGCGGACGTATTCGCGCGTGGACAAGTACAAGTCCCGCGGCTTTGCGCTCTCCGACGACGAGCGCATGATGGCGTTCTTGTTAGCCGCGCTGCAATTCTAGAGGCCCCAGACTCGTGCGTATCCCTCCCCGAAAGCGAGCGCGGCCTCTGATTGATGTACATAACCATGCCTGCTACTACGTAGTTACTTCCCCCCTCAACCCCCCCCCCCCCCGCCGACGGCGTTGACCGCGTCGGCCCAGGTGCCGAGGACCTTCGGATCGTCGGAGAACAGGTAGAGCGCGCCGTCGCGGAGGACGACCTCGACGCAGGTCTTCGCGACGGACGCGGCGGCGCCCTCGAGGCGCAGGGCCGTCGTCTCGCCGACGCGGCTCTGGAGCGTCGCGTCGCGGACGTCGACGCGCGTCAGGAACAGGTCGTCGCCGTGGAGGCGGAGCGCCGTGGGCTCCGGCGGCGCGTCGACGTCGCCGCGCGCCACGAGGAGCGTGCCCGCGGCGTCCGGCGCGCGGAGGAGCGTCTTCTGTTGCCGCGTCGACAGGCCCCGCTCGAGGACGCGGGCCTTGGGCGTGCGCTTCGAAAAGGTCCCGAAGGCCTCGACGCGCGACGCCGGCGACGCGGCGCGGAGCGCCTCGAGGAGCCCCGGCTCGCCGTCGCCGTCGCCGCCGCCGTCGTCGCCGTCGCCGTCGTCCGGGCCCGGCGCGTCGCGCTTGAAGTTGATCATGTGGCGCAGGGACTGGGACAAGTCGAGGTGCTTGAGCACGGGGCTCAGCACGGACGTCGATGCGAGGGCCGCGACGACGTCGCCGAGGCTCGCGCCGTCGCCGAGCTTCGCCGCGCCCTTGATGTCGAGCTCGTCGAGGTAGATCGCGTTCCCCTTTTTCTTGAGCGCCGGCTCGTCCTTCTTGAGCAGGCGCGTGAGCGCGTCGGCGCCGAACTTGTGGCCGAAGGCGTCGCCCCGGCCTTTGTAGCCGGAGAAGAGCTCGTTGAGGTGCAGGCGCACGTCCTTCACGCCGAACGCGCGGACATCGAGCAGGAGCGGGAAGTCGTCGAGCATGCGGCGCACGTCGCCCAGGGACCCGAGGCGGAAGCCCGTCTCCGCCGAGTTCTGCTGGAGCTGCGCGAGGGCCGTGAGCGGCCGCTTCTGGAGGAGCTCGTACTGCGTCGGCGCGCCCGCGACGGCCGCGTAGTCGACCTTCAGGACCAATTCGACGTCGGGGCCGTCGCGGCGCGCGTACGCGCCGACGTTCCGGAGCGCCATGCGGCCCCGGAGCTTGTAGACCGCGCCGCCGCCGGCCCCGCGGTCGCGCGACGCCTTGAGATCGCGGCCGTGGACGTTGGAGGGGTCGAGCACGAGCATCTTGGACGTGACGATCCAGCGCGCGACGGCCCTTCGTCGACGCCGCGGCCTCGTCGAAGACCTCGACGACGAGCACGGCCGACGGGTCCGGGCAGGCGAACTCGAAGGCCTCGTGGGGCTCGAAGACGGCCTCGCGCCCCGCGCCCCAGGACGCCCGCTCGGCCGTCCGCTTCGCGTCGCCGCGCACGGACGCGACGACCGAGGACCGCGCGGGCAACCCGTAGCCCCTCACGACGGTGACGCGGAGCGCGTTCGGCGGGGCCGCGCCCCGCGGCAGCTTCCGCGCGACCTTCCCCTCCGCGAGCGCGCGCTCGAAGCGGTTCACGTTGAACTCGCCGCGCGCCATGCCGAACGCGACCGTCGCGCCGCGGACCGACAGGTCCTCGACGGCGACGGTGCAGAGCCGCGTCGCGTCGACGCCCGGCGCGCGCTCCCGGAGCGCCTTGTGGAGCGACGGGTAGGGGCTCCAGAGGATCTGCGGCAGCGTCGCGTCGCCGCGGCCGGCCTCGAGGGCCGCGGACCCGGACGCGGCGCCGACGACGGCGCCGCGGCGGCGGAGGTCCGCGCGGAAGCGCGCCGCGGCGGCCCCGTCCTCGGAGAGCAGGGCGACGTTCGTCGCGATGCCCATGTAGTCGTCGGCGCGGCCCTCGTTCGCGCGGAAGACGACGACGTCGACGACGCCCGCGCCGTAGCTCCGGCGCCGGAGCATCGCGAGCGGGATCGACGTCGGCGGGAAGTGCGCGTGCGCGGCCGTCCGAGGCGACCGCGTCGGTGCGCGCGAGCGTCACGGCCGCGTCGATGGCCGTGCCCGTCGTCGTGATCTTCGCGTAGACCGCGCCGGCGGCCCGGGGCGGGTCGAGGGCGACATCCAAACGCACGACGGCGTAGTCCGGCGCCGCGGCGGCGGCGCGCCGCGGCGCGAGGCTCCGGAGCTTTGTCGACGCGAGCTTCGCCGCGGCGTAGAGCAGCTCGCGCGGAAATCGCAGCACGACGCGCACGCCCTCCGCGGCGACGAAGTCGCTGACGTAGCCCGGCCCGCCGCTGCCCAACCGAAAGCCCTGGACGTCGACGGCGACGCGGAGCTCCGACCCGCCGTCGTCGCCGCGCCAGAGGGAGAGCGACGGCGCGACGCGCTCGAAGCCGATGTCGAGGCCCGGCGCCGCGGCGCGCACGATGTGCGTCAGGGCGGCGCCTAAACACCGCGGCGCCTCGAGCGCCGCGGCGCAGACGAGGAGCGCGATGGACAGCGGGAAGCTCCGCGCGTAGTACTGGAGCGCCGCCGCGGCGGCCGCGGCGAAGTAGGGCCACGCGCGGAACGCGGACCGGAGCCGCGACGACTCGCGCTTCGTCGACCGCAGCCAGATGGCCGCGCGCAGGACGCCGTTGTCCGTGTCGGCGTGCTCGCCCATGAAGAGCGCGTGGCGCCGCACGGGGAAGGACCGCACGGCGGACGCGGGCTCCCTCAAATCGCTCGGGTCCTTGACGAAGGGCAGGCCCAGCAGCGGGATCGTGCAGTGGCCCACGCCGTAGGTCTCGAGCAGGTCCGTGCGCAGGCGCTCGTAGACCTGGAGCCGGAGCGCGTCCCTGCGCCGCGACGCCGCGGCGTTCGACGCCGTCATCGACGAGCCCGCC